GGAAAAAATAAACCCAAAAAAAAAAAAAAAAAAAAAAAAAAAGAAATCCCCAATACCTCAAGAGCACTATATCAAACCAGAACTCTTGGGCTACTGATTGCCGGCACTGTCAGAAGCTGCTTGCTTCTGGGAAGACACCTGGAGGTTGAAGCCTTACGGTGATTTCATATCCTCCCAGGGGAGATTTGCTGAGCTTTACTGATTGCGAGATAAAGCAGTGTTTTGGAAAACTAAAACCAACAAACTCATAATAACCATCACCAAAATCACCACTGGGAAAGTTCCATTTGTAAGAAGGTCTCATTGAGAAACATCAGTCCCTGCCCCGTGGAGCAGGACGGACATGATTAACAAAACCCAGAGCGACCCGTCCCCCGCAAGCCAGGCCTTCGGGGACTAGTCCCCAAATTATATTGGAGGGGGGAGAAAGAAAAATAAACTAAAAAAAGAAGGTTGTATCACCTTTTCCTCCTGTTAGAGTTTTAATCCTCTTAATTCCACTTTTATTTCTTTGTTTTTTCCCCCAGTTCTCCCTTCCACTCTGCCACCTTAGCTGGGGGAGTTATTGGTACGAGAGTTTGGAGAGTCCTGCTCATTTATTGTGTTCAAGAGTACACACACCGGCTGCCGGGGCAGGTGGTGGTGGCTATGTTCGCGGTGCTGCTCTTCTGCGGCATTAAAAAGCCCTTCCTCCTCGTCCCCGTGGGGGCGGCCGCTGCAGCTGTCGCAGAAGTCCAGGGGCCCGTCCAGAGCATCATCGATGAGCCCGTCGAACTCCTTGAGGTCGTCGTCGTGATGGCCCCGGTTGCATACGCAGACTTCGATGCCCGAGTCACCGGTGAAACGGCGCTGCCTGCCCGGCGTCTTGTCCTTCCCGTCAGGAATGGCGCTGCTCTGCTCTAAGCTCTCAGAGCTGTAACCTTTTAGCAGTTCCTCCTTGCACTCCATATCCTTATCAGGACTGGCCCTCTCCACTAGCTCGGCTCCCGTGCTGGTACCGCTGGGCTCGACGCTTTGCATTTTGGCAACTGCTCGCTCGACCAGCGTGGTGGTGGAGGGCTCGGGGTCCCCAAGGCCAGGGGACCCGGTGTTGTCAGTACTGCTGTTATTGCCACTGGGTGCTGCTGAGCTGCTCTGTGCTGGCTGCAGGTTTCTTGGCGTGTCCGGGATTGTGCTACTGCTGCCTGCTGGGACGCACTGCTGATGTAAGGCACTATATGGTGGGGGGGGTGTCAGCGGTCGGTTCACCACTTCCTCATAGGGAGGTAGTAAATAATTTGGCAAAAACCCTAAAAGTGGGAGGCAAGGAGGAGAAGTTACTTCATGAACAGCTTATCTCAGGAAATGAGTCATTAATACAGGTCAGTATGTCATTTGTCATCTACCAGCACCTTCCCACTGAACAGCTCAACGAGCTTTACAAGGGGTGCCAGAACTTGGCCCAAATGAGACATGTCATGTTTTAGAGAAGCAGCAATCACGGCACAGGGGGGCACCATTACAGGAGGTGGACACAGTTGGGAACAGCAGCCTGACCTCCCTGCTCTCAAGTCTATGCTTAGGGCTACCAGGTGAACTTCCCCCCACCGCCCTGCACCCTGTACCCCAATACAGCCCCACACCAAGGGATGGCCCGCGTTGGCTGGAGGGAACAACCTTGGAGATAACTCGCCAGCCCTCTCTCCAACACTGGCTTCTCAGCTGACTTTCCACTTTCAAGAGCAAAGATTTAATCTCAAAGCTTTGTGTAAATATGAAGAGACATAAGCCGTTACAAGGAACTTAGGATCCTGGCTTTCGGTTGTTGTTTTAGTGCTGGATTCAGTTTTTCTGGTGTGGTTAGAATAAATTGGCAGTACTGGCAAGAGAGTTTGGTTTATTGCACTTACAGCCCCTCAAATCTATGAAAGATTTTGTTTATTTCTGAAGAGGCAACAAAATAGTCCATATAGACAGAATGGACTTAAATACTGGAAACATTTAAAGATAGCACTGCAGTTTTCCATGTGCAATTGCGTATCCCTGGGGCTGGGGAGGAAAGCGCTGCTGGGGATTATTTCTGAGGTGGCTGCAAGAGCTTAACAAGAAAAGCAAGTTCATACATGCAATTCAGCAGTCCATTACAGGAAACTCAGTTGTGGTACCTCCAGTCAAAAGGCTGAGACTTGCTGTTCTAGCACAGCGTAGCAGGGCACGAAGGAGAGAACAAAGCAATTATACTTTCCCTGAGGTGTGGGCAACAGCTCCTTTGTGCAAACTCCTAGGGCTGCTGACCAGCAGCGTCATCTGGGAACCACAGCACAGGGTGGGAGCCAGCACGGTTCCTGCTGAGGCACCACTTCCACCCAGCCTGTGTGACTGAATTTCGTGAAGCCACTTCCCACATCTCAGTCCCACCAGCAGCAAGTGCAGGCTGGAAAGGAGGAGCATCCATAAAGTCCTGAACAAGATATTTTAAGAACCTTCCCAGAAAAACACCCAGGGGATCACTGCACTCACAGAGCCAAATCAAGGGTGGGTGTGAAGGTGCTGTAGCTGGTGTGGTTCAACTCCAGACTCAAGGGGGCTCAAATGCATCCAGCAGCTGGATTATGTCACCTCCTCTCTACAAGCCAAGGTTAGGCAGCAAAGCTGCCCCCCGCCTCTTGCTGAGCCCGACCACTGCTCCCTGCTTCCACCCAACATGGGAAACTCACTGCTGCTCTACTCCCCACGACCTCCAGGAAAAACAGTGTGAGGTACATACGGAAATAAAACGGCAGGGCTGAATAGTTATGGGCTTCCCGGTAAGCGATCAGGTTGATCTCATGTTGCCGCTGCTGGGCCTGGAGACGATGCTTGGTGCGTCGGTGGTGGCAAACACAACAGCAGCTGAGGATGATGATGATGGTCCACACCAGCCAAAACCCTGCAGCGGGGGAGAGCAAGTGTTAACCAGAGCGTGAGAGCCACATACAATCCCAGGAAACCCCATGAAGGCGATGGAGAAGATCATCAGAAAGCCTGGATCTGAACCCTGCACTGCTCTAAAGGCAGAAATACGCAGTGCACCGGGAGGCTTCGACACGGACCTGCCTGCGTGGCTGACTGCTACTCTGGCAGCCTTGACAGAATCGGGTAACTGTACACGCTTTGGTACAATGTGGAGTATGTTCAACAGGCACAACTCTGGAGGAGAATGAAATATGGAGACAGGGCTAAGCCTTCCCCTCCCCCCCTCATCC